CTGTATGATTAAAATGTAAACGTACACATTGACTCGGGCAGCTATTTTCCCCCAAGCTAACTCTCTCTCTTTCGCCGCTGCAGCCATGTTGTTGTTTTTTTTTTTTGTTTTTTTTTACGAAATATGGGCTCGTAGTCACTATATGCTTGTAGTAGCACATCCATTTCTGTCGGGGAAAAACGCAGACCTATTTTGGCTTGGTCCTGTTGCCATGGTGACTCGTAATTTCTTCACTCCATTGTTCAGGGCTTTTTATAGTCGCGTGGCACGCGCCTAACTCTGAGTCAGACAACTCAGAGTTGATTAAACCAACTCTTTTCAGCTGTTCTGAAACCGAAAACTCGGGGTTTTCCAACTCTGGGTAAGTCAACTCAGAGTTCAGGTTTGAACTCTGAGTTTGTTAAACCGCCTTCTTGAAATAGGCCCCAGGTGTGAAATGGTTAAGAAAACCTCTAGGAAATGGAAATGTCAACTCACTAAAGGAAGTAGAACAAAGTGAAATGAATTGAGCAGCTGAAAATGTAAAGGTGAGAAGAAATTAGTTTTAAAAAACTGAAGGTTTGAAGATTTTAGATTTGACCTGAATGTAACTTGAGCAGATGTAACAGGCTGACACTGTAAATGGCAGCTGCTTGTCAGTGTGGCCGTGTACTGACAGTGAGGAAGGAGGCTGTGGTTTTCTTTTCTTACACACACACACACACACACACACACACACACACACTATTTCACTCTAAATGTTGTACAGTCACATAGAAACAAACATGTCATACTGTTTCTTCCTGCAGTGTTTGGCCTGTTCGATGGTGAAGCCGGACACGTTGATGAACCCGTCTGCCTTGTCGGCCTGCAGAGATGAGAAGCAACACCTGTCAGCAAACAGCTCAGCGATGTGCAGACACACCGGTGCCTGTGTGTCTGTCAGGCTCCTCTGTGGTGTCGGTGGTCACAGGATGCAGCCGTTTGCCTGGGTCTCTGACCTGCTTTCTATCTTGTTGTGTTACAACTTCACTTTTCACTTTGCTGAGATCAAGTTTGTTTTTTTTGTTTTGTTTTTTTTTTACCTGGGAACAAATAATATTACAACAGCGCAGCATGTTTACAAGAAACCACGGTAACATGTTACGCCCTATTCAGCATTTGGAAGCAGTAAAAATAACATTTAATAAATGGGTTATAACCATGGGCCAGATTTATTGTTTTTATTTAACCAGTTGAAGCCTCACTGACATCTCTTTTTCCAAGAGTGACCCGGCCACAAGGGCAGCACATGTGAGGGCCCCCTCCTATAGTGCGTTTTGGTCAGTTTCGCATTGAGTTTGAAATTGAGTCGAGGTTTTTGAAGGGATGCATGTTGCGAGCATCTTAGCAGTGTGTGTTCACTGACACCTACCATCCTGTCAGCGTACCAGTACAGGGAGCACTTCTTCAGCACAAACCAGTATTTCTTCCATTTACTCCCCAGGAAGCTGCACCCCTCCTTCCTGCGGTGCAGCCATCCCTGGCAGTCTGCCACGCCCAGGTCTTTGATGGAAACCTGCCGCCGACTCATGGCTGCAGTCAGCCTAGAGAGGAGAGAGCAAGCTGGGATTCAGATGTCACATGTTCAGGCTGGACAGAGCATTTAAAAGCCTTCATGAACCAAATGGCTTCTACAGTCCAAAGTCAGTACGTAGTGTAACGGTCCTGAAACCCTGACAGAGCCTCCACCATGTGTCACTGAAGGCTACTACTCTCATTCTTCCATCTCTCCGACTTCTCACATACTGTCAATGACTGGACCTGAACATTTCAGATTTCGACTCATCGCTCCATAATCCTCTTTTCCACTGATCCTCACTCCAGTCTCTGTGAGCGTTTGCATTTCTCAGCCTTTTCTTCATGTCTCCTTCTGAAAAAGTGGTTTTCTGGCTGCCATCCTTCCACGAAGGCCGTCCCTGATCAAGCTTCTTCACACTGTGGCAGGAGCAGCTTGGCGTCCAGATGCTGAGCCAGGTCCCTGCTGGGTGTCCTCCACTCAAAGAAGAAACTCTGAGACACTTCTCATCAGATTCTGACAGTTTTCTTGCTCTTTATTCCTGGTTTTGTCCTCAACCTCTCTGGATTCTTCATGTTTCTTTAGAACAGCTTGAACACCACATCACGAGTGTCCAGTTTGTTGGCCGATTTTTTTTCCTGGCATTTTTGTCTTAATAGTGTGCACATATTTCCTGTATTTTTTATCAGTATTCCGATAAATAAATATATATATAGTCCCCATAACATTGGTAAAACAATAGATCTAATGGTAGCCTGAGAGTTTTGCTCAGTATGTACATAGAGCTGAGAACACAACCTGACAACGGTCTGTACAGTAGATGTACTGTCATACAGTAGCTCATGATCTCCTCAGTGCGTTTGAGAAGTCTGTAAAATATTACAAATAGGAATTTGAACATTACTAGTAAGTAATCAAAAGTAAAAGCCACTTCACATTTTGCCAATGGAATGATTTTAATTTGAAGGAGCAGCAACAGGCAATGATCAGTTTTAATAATAATAATACAAATTTCTCTCATTCTGTACAATCAGGGCCTGATGTAAAACAACTCAGCTCTGGTCTTTGGCAAACATGATGTAACTACAGTCACTGCTGAAAGTCACAATAAATTCTACCTCCTATTTCTTCAGTATGTTTCAGGTAGTTTTGGTCTTGTCTCTCTGCTCACACCATAACACAAAGTGTGGTTACTGGGGATGACCCAGACTTAACTGTCAGCAGTTTCCATGGCAAGCGTTTCTTCACTATAAACTACTGTGTACATTAAAGTTTCTTTGTGACTCTCTGCTGTGCAAAAAGCAAATCTAAAAGAAGTCTTACCTGCAATCTGGGCATCCAGCAGCTTAAGGGTTTGTCAGCAGATGGACGAGGAGGAACTAGTTTGTTGGTGCTGTATGCGAGGGTTTATACACCAACCCGTAACCAGACCACAAAGTCTGAATCACACATTATTTGAAATGTCACATATTTCCTGTTTGACACATTGTGATGGCCCTCAGTTTATCAGCCAGACTATATGCAGAAACTTCCTCTTTGTTGTCCAGAAAATTAAGCATTTCTGCATCTGCAGTCTTTATAGTACATGATGTATTTAGCAGAAGTTGCTTCTTTGGTACAGACGTGTTGTTAATGTGAGCGAATGAAACCTTTGGTGTCAGCATTTGTGCTGGCTGTGTGTTTCATCACACTCAAGCTTCCACTATCTGTCCACAGCAGACGTCTGTTTTAATGACATGACTGGAAAATTAAAACCTTAACAGCAGAAAATTCAATTTTAAATGCATTGTTGCATGTACATAGGTTTGATAGGTCTAAATATCCTCTAATATTGTGTTTAAAAAAAAAAAAATCCACCCTTCAAAATAAAAACATTTGACACCAAATTTCATTTAAATAAGTTTTAGATACAATGTGCACAGACACACATAGGGACTGACGGAGGTGAATATCTAACTCGCATGAGGAACTAAAAGATTAGAGATCATTTGTAGTTTGAACACATTAGATTCACTGACTATGAGGGTTTACTAATAAGAACAAGGTCAAATTTCCCTGCAGGTCAGGAGGAAAAGGACTCGGGTCAGGAAAATATAAACCCTTCCGTTAGAGAAACAACTTCTTTACTTGACAAAAATAATCATGCTAGTCCTGACGTCCTCCACTAGATGGAGATATTTGCTTCAAAAGCCAGAAGCTGGGCTGAAGTTGTCATCTGAGGCATTACATTGTTTTATTATATATATATATATACACACACACATACACACACACACACACACACACACTTTAAACAAACTGTTGACCGCAAATGATTCGTTTCTACTTCACTCCACAACAGTGGTGAACACCATCCCTACAATAAAAATCTTTTCATGATGTCCACCATAAATCTGTTATTTGCAGTGCAAAGTACTGAGTTAAGTGTCTTTTAATACTTTTCTAAATAGGAGATAAGTATTCAGTGAACGGACTAATGACTGCAGCTCCAGGACATCGAATGGCTTAATGAAGAAGAAAAAAAAAAAAAAAGTGTTGTATTTTAATGTACTCTACAGCAATAAAGTGTGTAAAGAGTGAAGGAAGTCCAAAGTGAAAATTTTAAAATTTACCACTTTATTTTTGTACTTTCCACAAGTTTCAAAGCAGCACAGAGGCACCTTAATGCAGAGAGAATTAAACTGGTGAAACAAAATGACTAACAAAATACTTGCATGTCCTAGTACACGTACATGTGATACATGTATTTGGCAACACAACAGTTTTACAAACCGAACTGTCCAAAATGGAGAATTTCTGAATAATTTACCTTTAGCAAAGTTGCATATTCTCCCTTAAACAGCGGCCACAGGTGGTAACTACTAGATGATCACACACCGGTTTTCACTACATTTCCTATGATTCTCTATACAGCCATCATTCAGTAACTGATACTGTATTTTGTTTACGAATGCCACTTTTTGTTTGCAACATGATTTCTTTTGCATTTCTTCTTTAAAAAGTTAGTTTCAAATAAATATGTGATGTTTAAAAATCTAAACACTTCAAATGTTAGAAAAATGTTTAGTTTTTTTAAAATCTAGATCACCTCTGTACTATTTACACTTCCCATTACACTGATAATCTCTTGTACAGCTTCATAGCTCTTGCATAAAGATTTATTAGTTAAAAGGCACCGAACACAGGCCAGAAACACTTTGAGGAAGCTTAGAGTCCTTAAACTGCAAACATCAGAGGATCCATGATGGCTCCCTTTGTTACTGTGATTCCTTTGAAATGTATATTGTAACAAAGCCTGTGTGAAGTTTGAGGAATATTTAAAAACACTATAGTACTCTTGTATATCTCCCATAGTTTTAAAAGCACACAACATAAATGACAAACTGAGTCTGTAGTGTTGAAATGAAAACATTTTTAAAAACATATTCACAAACCTTTTTGTCCAGACAAACTAAAGTCTAGATGTGAGAGGCACTGCTGGCTCCTGAGACTGAGAAGTTCACCACTGTTGATGTAGGTTTACACTAGTATCGTTATGTTTGTGGCTTCAGGATTATTTAGATTTCAACTCTGATTCAGCTTGTGAGCAAGAAATCAAAACCTACTGAAAACAAAAACCAAGTTCATTTTCTGTAGCTTTGACCTGCCATAAACAAAGATTGAGGTATTTTGTGATTTGTCATTCAGGTGGTGATTCTTAAGAGTTAAAATACTAAAAACAAGAAGCATAACTAATGTATCTGCTTTCATGCACAAGCACAACGGTGGCTGCTTTTCGCTTGTTATTCCTTGAGTCTGGTTTCCACTATTAAAGTGTATTTGTTAGCAGATTCCTAGTTTTCATATATTGGAGACAGCTTCAAATTAAGAACTCATAAAATTAATTCCATATTCCCTCGATGCAGCTGTTCAGGATATAACTGCAGTTGTCTAAATATGAGCTGTATGCAAAAAGAAAAATGGACAAATTCTCTTTACAAATTTAATACAAGACATTATTTCAGCAGCTAAAACCACTTATCAAGTGTCTAAGGCTTAAAGAGAGGTATGTTTCTACATAAGGGTGAATCTGCCGCAGTCAGCAGTTCCACTTTCCTTGCAGCTGTTAGGTTTTCCGGGTACAGAAACAGATGTAAATGGGAGCAGATGAAAAACTCAAACCCCAGATCTGTAAAGGGCTTTTCAAAATACTGCAAGTGCTGTCACAGATGCTTCATCAGTGTTTTCATTCAGCCTCCTGATGGGCAACTGCAGCAGCCAGAGTCAAACAGCTCTTCTCATTTGTTCATTTTTCTAGTAAAAACAGAAAATTTGTTAAACGAATTTCCCAGGCTTAGGTTTACTAGGATGTTCCGCATGGGGAAACACAGTGACCTGCTCTGTGGTGCTCCTGATTTTTTTGTCCTGTGATCCTGTGGAAGGAAGATTCTTCTCCACTGTAAGATCTTTGGTTCTCTCCACAGGCTAGTTTTCCATGAACTGTTGCATTTCACCTGAATGTCAAACTTCTTTCTTGACCCCAGTTCACAGCTGCTAAAAGCCTCCAACTTAACAGATACTTAAATCAGGTATCCTGAGGATCAGGGTGGGGCTGAGAATAAACCAGCTCCTCCATGAGCCAAATGACAAGAACGAATCTTATCTAAAACTTTTTAAACCATGTTTTTCCTCCGTCACTGACTCAGCATCTTGAGACGAGCCAGCCACCCACTGAGCAGTGACGTGGACTGTTTGGTTACAGCCTGGCGAGGAGAAACAGCAGCAGACTTTTTCGATGTTGCTTCGTGGTAAGGGATGGTAGCACTGCTGTGCAGTTCGGCGTTGATGAAGCACTGGCTGCCCCTGATGTGGTCGACGCCACGGACAGACGGATGTCCTCGGTATGGCAAAGGGAAACACGGCTCCTCTTCTGTGATGGTGCTGATCCCATCGTTACTCAGGTATCTGTGCAGAAGGTCCCGCCCTGTTCAGGAGGTGAGACAGGAACAGGAAGTTCAGTGATCTGTAGGTTTCTCTCTGGTGTCCAATCATAGATAACTGAGTGTAAAAACATCAACAATGAACAAACGATTGAATTTAATAATGTTTTTGGGCACTTACAGTCCATCATACAGTATATGATGCATCCCCCAATAAAATAGCTAATAGGAAAAAGAACATTTAAAGCTGCGGGTCGGTCTTTTTGCTCCGATTCCCCATTTAAAAAAGTAGAGCACTGTCATCTGAGCTGCTGGGACCCATTAAAGCAGTTGTTGTTGACAACTCTGGGTAGATTGTGATGACTCAAGAAACTCAGCCACATGACAGGAAGCCACAGCAACAATGAGAGAAGGAAATAAATGAAAGCAAATGGAGTTCAGATAGAAACACTGACTTTCAGCCTCTCATACATTCAGATAAAAAAAAAAAAAAAAAAAAAAATAATATGAAAGAATAAAAACTACAGGTAAAATGTTGGAATGCAGTGGAGAACAAAAACATTTCTAATCCTCTCTCAGACATGAGCAGCACCTGAGATCCTCCAGTATGTTCTTCCACAAACTAAATGACACGGTAGTCTTCAGCTGGATTTAAACTTGACACAAAGGGTTAACAGCAGTGGACTTACAGTTCAGAATCCAGTTTCACACTACACAGACGCATTGTACATGATCAGGCCATGTTTTGTTTCCTTATGCTGCCCACAGTCACTGTGCAGCAGCAGTGAGTATGAGGTCTGACGTGGTGATGTCTCTGTCACTTCTTTAATGGTCTGAACAATCTCACTTTAGAAACGTATAGAGGAATCACCAGCAGCCCATGCTGACAAACACAGCTCTAGTTGTTCATATACGAGATGCCTGTAGTTGTTGTACTCATGACAGGTGGTTACATTTTTGAACATGTGCGCTATGTGCTCCCTGCTGTAGCTTCACTTCAATCCCTTTAGACAAACACACACACAACCCCCCCCCTTCAGGCTTTACTGTTAAGAAAATCAGATTACAAGATAAAATATTGTTTCTCTTGAAGCAACAAGTAAGACTTGACCAGTGGGGTGAGATAAATCTTATTCTTTTGTTTTAGTTCTTTAAATGGACTTGGGCCACTCTGGTTAAAGATCCTACAACAACACTGCACTATCACTAGAAACAGAAAACGTGGAACTTTCATCATGCAAATGATTTCACATAAAACAGACAGCGGGTCACAGGTTGCTACAGCAGTCTACTAAGTTAACACTGTTGTTAGAGCCACGTTAAGCACAAGTGGAAAACTGTCCACTTTTCTACGTGCCTTTATTTAACTGTTCTGACATGAAAATCCATTAACAGCCCCTTATCTCAGACAAACAGCCAACACACATTCAAATCTACACATCAAGCTGCTGTAAGAACCAGACTGAACTGTGTCTGAAATCAGTTCTGTCGATGCAAAATCAGCTCCTTGGGTTAATGATCAGCGAGGTAAAAATTCAAAGCACGCAGCTCGCTCTGCTGCCGTTTGTGTTCGGCTGTTAATGAGGCAGACAGGTGGCCATTACTGATAACAGTCAGATTACAGGTTCAGCCGGGCAGGTGGTGCTTACCTTTCCTCCCCTGCGGCCCGGGTCTGGAGGGTGGGTTGGACACGCTCGAAAATGACTCCACTGGCATGGACACAGGTCGAGGTTTACCTGCAAACCATCCAGAAAATGTTTTAGAACCTGCATGTACATCAGTGAATTATTTCATAGTCTGCGTTTACTGTCAGGTCTCTCCCTCCTGCTCCCAGTCTGATCTATGGTCTTATCTGTCCACCAACACTTCATATGCGTCATTTTCATACCTGAATTTCAAAAAGTCGATGCAACCCCTGGGTCAGGACTCTTATGAAGTAACATGAACTTATCAATGTTTCTGTGATTTTATTTTGTAATAAAAATATATGTATAGTTTCAACATTATCCATATGAAGCAGAGTTCATACCTTTCTGCAGTCAATTTATATGTTGACATAATGTGTTTCTCATGGTTTTGTTTGCCAAAATCATTAAAATGCTGGAAGCTAAAAGTCACTGACCTAAAAATGTTGACTCAGAGTACCATGACACAGAAACCAGAGAAGAAGAAATCCTCCTATGGGTACTGATAAAAAAACTGTCTCCCTTTAGAAGAACAGTTAGCCTGTTACCACTCGTACACCTGCACAGCAAAGCTACAGGCTCCTAGTCAGCTGAGCTTGGACAGCATCAGCAACTAGTCTGGCTCTGCCACCCACCTACCAGCACCTCTAAAACATACTAAACATCTTGTTTCAAATCTGTGCAACACTATGTGTAAAAACTATAATTTGAGATTTTTATGGGGCTTCTAGCCACAGGGGTTGCAAGCCAGTGACTTCTGTGCTGGTCCCAAGCCCGGATAAATAGAGAGGGTTGCGTCAGGAAGGGCATCCAGCGTAAAAACATGCCAAATTTAAACATGCGAATCATCAGTGCGAATTCCATACCGGATCGGTCGAGGCCCGGGTTAACAATGAGCGCCACCAGTGCTGTTGACCTACAGGGTGCTGGTGGAAATTGGACTACTGTTGGTTGAAGAAGGAGAGGAGGTAGAAGGATTCATAGACAGAGAAGTGAGAGTAGAGGATGCCGAGGATAGAGTTGGGTGGAAACAGATGATTCGCTGTGGCAACCCCTAACGGGAACAGCCGAAAGAAGAAGAAAAGATGTGCACAGAGAAGTGTGGCATTTCAAAAGTTTGAAGGTTCAGACTTGGTTTGAGAGCCACAGTTAGGGTGAAATAAAAAATTCTGCTGATGAGAGTCCTCATAGACATATTTGTGTGTGTAAGTGCACTTACAGTGTGTGGAGGGGCGCTGTCGGAGGCGGACGGCGACTGGCTGGTTCGGTTCAGATGGGGGGCTCACACACATCCTGCTGTCATCTTCAACAGTGACGCATTGCTGCACGTCTGAATCCAAACACGAGTTTGGAGACTTCGGCCTCATTTCCACACCTGGAGATGTGTTCGTGTTCCCATCTCTGCTCGGAAAAACAGAACAGGAGAAGGGCCAACAACATCATACTGTGTGTCAGTGTAGATGTGTGGTGTTCTTGAGGATGAACCGTTTCCCAGAAGCTCTGTTGGATCAGTCTGATACTCACAGTGGTATGTACGGCGCAGCAGGGGGAGGAGGGATGTACAGATCCAAGATGGCCGTCTTCCCTCTCTTCCCAGGAACCTCTGAGATGTCTGGCTGATCAGATCTGTAGAGACCTGGAGCTCCCTGGGAGGTCTGGATACAAGAAAAGAGGAAGAGGTGATGATGAACTTTAACCACCAGCCCGCCAAGTGTTCAGGCAGAATAATAACAATAGCTAATAATTAATGCTTCTGATGAGGACAAAAGCATCGGACACAAACAAGGTCTTTCTAATGCTGCTATTTCTCCAGTTTTTGTGGACTGTAGTGTGATCTCTGTAGCACAGAAACGGAGAGACGACAAGAGGATTCCTAAATAATGGTGCTTATCATAAAACGGAACACCATTAAACCCACCATTATCCTCATTCAGCCCCACATACACTAATACTCACTAGAGAACAAACGTCGATTCATCCACCACTGAATGTAGTCCCCAACACATGCACCATTTCCTCCTCTTTGATTAAAAACTACAGTGAGGAAGTTACTGAGAATTCTTAAAAAATGAAATTCTATATGTTTGTGAAGTTTTTTTCTTTGATTTGTGTCAGTGGGCTTGGAGCTGAGAGCCTCAGATAGGTTAGAGAAGTCTAAGAGACAGATTAACACATCTAGACTGACTTCAGATCTGTTTTTATAGCTGACTGAAGACCGAACTCCTGAATGGAACTGAATTTGTCTTCCAAAAACGCACACATCCTAGAAGCCTATCAGCACAAAATCCCTGCAGGCTGTTTGGTGAATTCAGAATCGTCACATTGTGGAGTATCATGAGTCACCATCCAAAGAAGTCTGACATCAACGCAGCCTGATGTTCAGCCTGTTTCCTATCCCATTTTCCAGGAAAAGTGAAGAATAGATCCATTGTTGACCCACACCCCTCAGTGAATAGGCTGACCGGGTGGCTGCTATTTTCTGGTCAAATCGCCCACAAACAGAAACAGCTTTAATGCAAACTAAAGATGACAAAGTGAAAACCATAGGGGCGTTATTTACCCAAACACTGAAACACTTGGCTTTGCTGCCGCTGGGGATCAACAGCACCTCAGCGTTTTATTGCAAAAAACTAAAACCAAAGTCCATTTCACTCAAAACCCAAACTAAATCAAAATGAACACCAGACATGAGAGCAGAACCTGTGCCTGGTTTCAGTGTCATGCTCAAAGGCACTTCAGCAGGGTTGGTGTTTGAACTTCCTGCACTGAGGGAGTGTCGTGGCAGCTCACCTGTATAAGTGGCGGTCTCCAGCGCAGGTTCTTCAGTGGAGCAGGTGCAAAGGTCCCAGATGGCCTCTTCTTCACCAACAGGATGATGCTTCCAGACTCCGCCCTCAGCTTTTCCACCAGGTGCTTCAGCTGCCAGCCCACCTGGACCAATCACAAACCAGAAAACAGAGCTGTCATGAACACTGTGGCCTTTAGAGGGTGCTAGCATAAAGACATTCTTTACCAATTAACTACAGTTGTTGTTTCAGCAACTGAATCTCTTGTATGTGTAAAACATCTCATGTCCACTGATTACATTGACAAACCAAAAAAATAAAGCATCAAGTCAATTTAAACGAACGGTTCAAAGAACTACAGTTTAGGAAATAGTCTTATTCGCTCCCTTCCCAGGAGCTAGATGAGCGTGCTACTCTCAACTGTGTCCATTAAATCTCAAACAAGCATGTCTCAAAATGTCATACTGCTGCTTTGGACTCACCACAGTCTGTTTGTTGACTTGAATGACTTCGTCTCCAGCATGAATCCTGTGGGTTTTATCTGCAGGAGACTGAAAGGAAGACAGAGAATCACAGTGTTTTACTGTAGAAATGAACTGAAGAGACAGAAGGTCAACACACGAGTCAGTGCACAACATGCCAACATCTCCTCTGATGTTTCAGGAGTGTTTTTAGACGTCTGTGAAACGCTCTAATGCTTGAAGGTGTCACAAAAACAAGCTGGAAAACATTTACAAGACTTCCAGGGCCAGCGCCAGGCCGAGCACTCACATTCTCTGTTGTTCCTGTGATGATGTGAAGTCCGTCGTAGGTGGATTTTATGTAAATCCCCTGGAAATTTAAACAGAGTGTTTATGAATGTATATATGAACATTCTATATAAATATAGCCTGTGGTTTCTCTGTAATTCCTGGCGATGGTGGTTGTAGGGATTTCCTTGTGGGGCCTACATCTGCTTCTGTTTTTGACTTGGGACTGATTGCAGCTCATGGTACAGCACTAAAGTACCTGTTAGTGCTTCTCAGGCAATGTCAGCTTAAATTGTGTGGGTTTTCTCTTTACAGTACTCGGTACCAATGTCACAGTGTCGTCCTGCTGATATGGTCTGAATGTAAAACGTCTGTCCTGTATTAGTCTTTTGGTTCATGCGGTGTTATTGTATTTTCGGAGCTCACCAGTCCCTCCCCAGACTTGATGTTGGTGATGTGAACCTCCTCCAGACAGGCCATCTCACTCTTTGAGGGGTCAGAGGTTGCTCGGCCTGTCTTTTCACAGACACCATTTAGAGCTCTTGACTGAAACACGATAAAAAAATAAAACATATTCAAGGTCAGTATTTGAACATTACATTCACAAAAAGTACAAAGTCACATAAACAGCTGAAACAAACAGTAGATCACCTTAAAATTCATCAGCCACTATCTTGATAACTAGTAAAGTCTTAAAGTCTGTTTTCCGACATGGTTCCTGGTTCTCACAACCTCGCAACTGGTCTTGCGTTGCTGTAAAATGAATATTTTTGCCTCTTAGACAAAACAAGTCATGTGAAGAGGTCACTGTGGGCTCAGCCACACTATGGCAGCCATCTTCCACTTTGTTTTGTGGAAGAAAGACGATCATGAAAGCAACATGTGCATTGTTTGAGTCAAGACTTTTCATGTTGCTTCTGTTTGGACTCTACACACTTCCACTGTGTAGACTGACCAGGTTTCACAGCCCAGGAGGCTGTAATACTGCAAATATACTTTCAAAGGCCAGAATGACACCAAGTCTAATAAAAGTAAAACAAATAGGGGGGGGGGGGGGAATTTGAAAAGCCTCACTGCCAATGCTTTTTTTTTACAAAAGGGGGGGGGGGGTGGAATCTGAAAAGTCTCACTGACAATGCTTTTATTATACTTTATTTGTTAAGTGGATGATTTCTCAATTGTTTTAACATTCATTTTCTTTCCCATATTTGTGGTAAAAGCGGTAAATTCAATATAACCATCATACCGTACTAGCTTCTAGGTTGCTACCGTGATTAAACTGTTCATTTATCTGAATTATATTCTTATTTTGTACTTGGAATATCTGATGGTACAACCAGCAACATTTAATGACTGCAGTGACAACAAACATCATAGCAAAGCTGGGACTGGTTTTGTTCTTAATAATGACAAAGATACATTTACAATACACACAGTTTATAAAAAGTAAAAGGGTATGACTGGCTTTCTACTGACAGTAGGTTGTTGGCAGCAGGTGGTCTTGTTCCACTGTTTACCACCTGTGATGAAAGGTTTCTGCTGAATCACCACCTGCTGTGGAAGCACTAAGCTGTCTGACCCTGACCTCTGACCTCACTGTGGAAAGGGATGAGCATACATCGGAAAAAATAAACTAATAAACTAATAAACCAGTGAGACATGGAACAGCATCACAAAGAAGCTAGAAATTTGCAGTGCTGTAGTCCATTTGGTCAAACATGAGATAAAATGGATCCTCCAGCAGCCTGAGGCCTACAAAAACTGAGCACAGTCTCATGTTATCATTAAACTGACTAGACACCTCAGCCTGAAGCAAAGTGAAAGATGTGAGGTCACGGGAAGCCATCAGGAAAACTCAAACCCGCAGGAAATTATAAATAAACCATGCTCCTCTGGAAAACTCATCAGTTCTTTTGTTTCTATTGATTTGTACTTAAAGATTTTTGTGATACATTTGTTACACAACTGTATCCACACAAACAGCTTCAAAGCTGTGAACCACACTATGTCAGTGTTTTTAGGTCTTGGTGCGCCTTATCTATATTTGCAGCGTTTCCTCCTTTGGTTAACTGTGTTTGTCCAGGTGACAACAAAGCCACTAGCACAGCATCTTCACCAAGAGGCATCCACGTTTCACTGCTCAGCGAAGGAACTGAAATGCTGTTAGTTCGAAGTAACAAACCTGCAAACACCTGCAAAAAATCTTGACATCATTGGCCACCAAGCTCACATGGAAATAAACACAAAACTGTCACATTAAAACAGCTCATACCGCCTGATTTTTCACAGGTATATATGAAAGAGTAAATAACTGTCTTTATTAAAAAAAACAAAAACAAAACAAACAAAAAAAACCCACTGTGCCAGTTTCCTTATTGCTTTGTATAAAGGTAGCAGCTCACAAACACCTTGATTATTAGTTAATACGTTAAAGCTCCTTTGTTGAATTCATGTAAAACCCGGAGTGGTAAAACTGCGACTTGTGACTGACTGGTGTTACTGGACTACCAGAGTGATAATCATCTCCTCCTGTAACTGTAACTAATAACTGTAATTCCCAAAATGTCAAATATTCATTTAAAGAGAGATAAATGTGGTTTTATCATCCATTTATGGAGAAATGCCAAAATGTTAACAGAATGACAACTGACAGAAGTCAGTAATAACTTTTACACAAGTTGCATCAGGATTGATGAAGAGGCTTGAAGGCTCTCTAAGGAAAAGGAATAAAACCAATTCCTGATTTTTGTGTAAGGTCATCAACATACGCAACTACACTAGAGGAAAATCAGATGTCATAAGGTCATGTTAGAAAACAGAAGTTTTCATTTAGGAAAGTGACTGAACATCAGCTGATTCAGTGCAACTAACAGGAAGAGTTATCGGAGACAGGAAGTGGATGCTCCTGAGCTGAATAAACAAACCTGCAGCTTCACATACACACACACGCTCTCTCTCTTTCTAAACACCACAGGACACTCAGTACAGCACAGGAAAAGGAAATGTGTGTGTTTTAGCATCTCCCTACACCCACAGCAGAGAAACAAGGGGAAGCAGCACTCACCACTTCCAGAATCTTCTCCTCCATCTCATAAACTGTACAGTCCTGCAATTAAAGAGAAAACAGACTCAGAGACTTCACAACACTGCGGTCATAAAACAGCCATCTGCATGTTTAACAAGGCCAGCGAGGAAACAAGGTGTAACTAGTGATTTGAACAAGTGGACTCAAGTCGGATAGTAAAATAAAATATTCTTGGAAAACAGGTGTGTTTAGAGTACAGGTAATAGTGTGATTTATTTCTATACCTTGTCTTGTTTTTGAAAAGTGATACAACAACAAACAGCTCATAATATTCTAAACAGATTCACAAAAATCAGAAAAAGTCACAATTAAACCCTTTTACCATTTAGTGTTTCCTCATTAAAGCTGCACAAACACCGTTACATTAACAACTTTACTTTGGAAAGTTTGGGACTACAATCTATACACACAATGTGTGAGGCTGAAGGAAAGATATAACAAATGTGCAGCAGGGCCATAGTGACCACGGAAGTCCTACCACTGAGACAGAACAATATTCCATCTGTTCCATGAAGAAGAAGAAAAAGAAAAGATCTTATTTTGGTTGCCAAGTTGCAACATGGGTGTGTAGAAAAAAGGCTGGAAAACAAATTTATTAATTTATTATAACACACAGAGTGAAAAACTTTGAAACAGTAGCAGTTTGTTTTATGACAAGCAGAATTTGAAGCCCCTCCCATCAAATGAAGCAGCTTTCCTTTCCAGGGCTCTGCAAGCTTAAGGAACTGTGAGTGTGGCAAATAGAGACGAGATGGGAGGAAAATAGAGAATGGAATCAGCGGAAAAGCAAATATTTGACAAATGGCAGCCTACAAGAGAGTGAAACCAGAGGGAGGGATGGCGAACGCCTCCCAGAGACAGAAGATTCCTCCTGTGGTTGGTGAAATAACAGCTCCCTGTAAACAAGATGACAAGATGATTGCATGACAGCGGGGCAGGGAGACGCCTCAGCGCTGTACAAACCTATGCAGTCATGTCGGAATGTGACACACTACAAAAAAAATACCCAACTTCACCGTCACTTCAACTGTACATCCTACAACATACTTTCCAAATTTCACTTGTGCTTTTTATAAGTGGGAACACTGAATCAGGTTTGTGTTGATGTTTTTTGCTGAGCTTTTGTGTTTACTGCCATGGTCTGTCTGCTCTTATTGGCTGAAGCAGGTGCTAGTTGGGGTCAAAGTATTTTGTGTGATCAGTGTTTGTTGGCATGTCATATTAGAAAGATCACAGAAGAAGCAGTACCAAGAACCAAACATCTGAAGACTGACAAGTTTCATTAGCATCCCCAGGCCTGAGGGAGTAGCTTCTGTCAGCAGGTCTCCAGTCTACATGATGTCTTCTTCTCCATAGCTTATCAGCGTCTGTGCATGTGTTTGCATTTATGTGCATGTGGGCAGGAAGGAGGTGATGACATGCTAGTGAGCATTAACACCTGTAGTGGAATACAGATACTTTAATATATGTATAGTCCTTCAAATAAAAGCCAAATTAAAAGTGATTCGAAATAGCCCTGAATCGTATCACACATCGTCAATATAGTTTTTGTATCTAATCATGGAGCATATATCCAGATATGCATCGAATCCTGTGAGAGGGAGAGATACACATCCTTACTAAATTATTTTTGCATTAACTTAAAATGTGATGTGTGAGCCGCACTGACCTTCTGGACGGTGGAGGTGAGCTCCAGACACAGCTGGACGATTGTGCTTTTGGTGGAGGCGAGGTCATCTGTGCTGGTAAGAGGAGTCCTGGACAGAGAATATTACTGCTGTTACTGTCAAAACTGGAAGTGTTTTCTATGTGCGCCTCACGCTGCAGATAAAATTCCATTTTAACAAATGAATTAATCCACACTGAATCCGTTAGAGACACCTCCCATAGAACCCTCACTTTTTTTTTTTACACATCTATTTTTTTCCCCTCTCTGCTACATTTAGTGAAGCGCAATCTTCACAGTCAGCTGTTTAAATCACACAAATCCTGTTGTTTTCCCATTTCTACTGGTATCTGCTGTGACTGATCAGGCTGCTTGAGTTTCACTTTCTCCCTCTGTAACAATCCGGAGAAAATCAATAAATTGCTAGACTATGTCAAAACACCAACCCAGGTGATTGTGTCTGTCAGATGTCAGGTATGTTATGACTGCTGGTGTTTAGTGTGTAACAGCTGTAGTGACGCGGGAATGTTCTTCAAGCCGATACAAGCTGAGAGCATATTAACCTGCCACTGTTGTGTTACTTTCCCCACCAAAAGTATATGTTCATAGTAAAACTGGGTGTCTTGAATGAAAGTGAGATGCTGCCTAACCAAAACAGCGCACTTTTAAGAAGCTTTATTTTTATTAATTTAAGAACACTGACAACTAATCATCTGTAGTCATTTCTTTTCTCCTTCCCATCACAAGGAAAGTGTAAAAATGACAGATGGCCCATAATTTTTTGGATTCAGAGCTATTGAAACAATGGGGAAAACAACACTGTGACCACTTAACAAGAGGAGAACAAACTGAAGCTTGGACCCGGAAACAGAATGTTATGTCACCACTTAACAAGCGGAGAGCAGGCAGTCAATGTGCTTGTGTTTACCTGTCCAGCCAGGCCAGCAAACTCTTGGCAGCTCCGATCAGCTCGACCACAGCAGTCAGGAACTCGTTGGTGGGCTGATGGGAGTTTTTGCTGTGGTAGACAGGATTCTTCCTTCGCTGTGACACGGCACTGTTCAGGCTGTGGTGCGCTGCTCTCATCTTCCCCACCAGAGTCTTCAGGTTGTCTGATTCCACTCCATAGTTCTGTACTCAGATACAAAAAAGGCAGATCTTACAATTTAAACATAACAAATACATCATGAACATACAAGAATTAATACCTTAAAGCTGAAACCTGTAAGGTTAGAAGGTGTTAATTTCATGTTGCTGCCTTAGTTTTCCCCATCTCCTTTCAATAGTTACTGCTTGTCTGGGAATCCCTGGGAACTGCCAATACAGCCTAACATGTAACAGTAACATTAACAAGCTTCCAAGCACCAACAGACAAATGTTGATTCATTTATCTACTGCAGCCTCTTCTTCTGAGCCTCCGATGGAAAACAGACCACCTGACAGCCAACGGAAACTGCTGGAAAAACTGCTTTGGCTCTTCTCTACATGCTGCACACTGTGAACGCATGTGAGTGTGTGTCAGGGGAAGGGTGGGGGTCTCTAACAGGTGGGAGGGGTCACATCTGTTTCCTGCTCCATAGCAGAGAACAGCGCTGCACCGAAAAAAAAAAAAAAAAAAAAACATACATGTCACTTGACCTTCAATTCAGTCTTACAGGAAAAGTCTCCCCGAAGCCCTCGAGCTACTGACGATGTACTCACAACTCTTTTTAGTAGTTTACATCAGCTTTCCTCAGTGTGAGGTCACTAGTATGTGGACAGGTTTCAGGGATAAAAATCATCACTAGTAAACGTCCTCTTAGTGCGGTCTCCTGCCATGACCTTCATCCCAACCAGCAGGGTGCTGTGATTTGGTAAGCTGGCAGAACATTAATTTAATGATACTGATGTTTACATGCCATTTAACCAAAAAGACAGCAAGAAAAAGGAAAGAAGGAAGCAAGGGAGAGCATATCAGGATGAGAGAGGTGAAACTTAAAGCCCCTGAAAACTTAGTTTCAAGCTTCAGGCTCTTTCCAATAATATATTCATGACTAACTGTGCAGCAATCAGAGTTCAAGTTTCTGTTTCTTTAAAGAGTTTAACACTCAAAACTTCAGCTAATCTGCTTCATCGCTTCACCAGCAGTGTGTGGGTGTGGACTTAGCAGATTTACATTTTTCCAACCTAAACTTCAGGCCAGTGAGAAAAGCCCAGTCAAAAACACAGACACAGATTTCTCCAGTGTGAACATAAACCCAAAAGGTTTTTGGAGCATATTGTGACTGTAGGCATACTCGGCCTCCGGCTCCATGTTATTGGGACAAACTCCACTTCCCACCTGTCCTGAACAGGTTGAGTAGTAGAGAGAAAACAAAGATGGAAATAAAACTCAGTGGGTATTTTGTTGGCCTGTGTGGGCTGCTGCTTAATGGCAGAGGCAAAATAGACCCCAAGGCTGGACCAGGTGAGAACCAATGACCTAAACTGTACCGACATGCAGAACTGGAGGAGACATTCCCTTCTCTCTCCACCAGCACAAGGACAGTAGGAACCAGAGCACGGCTAGTTCGGAGCTGATCTGCTTCACTTCAAGATAATGTCACCAGTTTTTGTTCAACAAGCTGAGTCAGCTCAGAGACAAATGTCTTTCACCCCACTGGCACATTTTTTTACTAACTGATAACAACGCACAATTACCACACTTTTTTTTAAAACTACACAATAAACACTTTACAAACTATCTTTCAGTTGACATCTCAGCTGTCAGATATTCTGGCTTTAATTATCCTAACGTAATGTTGTATTGGTTGATAAAAGAATAAATTAACCAAGCTTCAATCACATAACTTTAAACAGCAGCAGCAGTTTCCATGTCTGATAAGTGTCTCACTGCTGTGGTCAGTCACCTTTTTTTGTCACCGTCAGTGACAGCAGAGTGTCGGGCTCCATTTAAAAAGGATCCTACTGAGCAGAGTTACAGCACTAGATGTAAATCCTCCTTTTCACTGTGCCATGTTTGTGGTTTTTCACATTTTAAAACACAAAGTAAACACACTTGTATTTTTAAAGACAAGCTGTGATACTTGCAGTATTTTCAGGTCATTTAGTTGGGTTAAGTCATTTCTGGCTTCAGTCTTGTTTAATTTAAAACAGTGAAATAAATCAGAGGATAAAACATCCTGTGATTTATAACATGATTTACTTTTGAGTTTGAAGGAATATAGTTTACCCCCTTCAGCAATCATTGGATTTATGGAATAGATGAGCCAAAGGACTCAACGTTCTTCTTTCCTTCAATGCTTCTTTTAAGCAGAAACTACTGCTACACACATTTACAGTGCACAGCAGAAGCATTAAAACCAGAACTGTGGGCATTTTGCCAGATGTGATAAAGATTTAACAGAGTGCATTTTATTTACATCAGCATATTCTCTGGCATGAGGGCTAGGCCAGTGTAAATTAGTGATATCAGTCATGGAAATGAAGCAAACAAAAACACATCAAGATGCAGGGTCCAACTCAGAAGATTCTGCTGCTCTCTCATATTTAATATACAGTATCAGGCACTTTCAGCTAAGGTGCTTCCTTATAATCACATTCTGGTATTTTCATGAAGATTGCTGTGATGTGTTGTTTGTACTTTAGTTCCTTTAGCCTCTTTCCATATACAGTGACCACAGGATTCTGAAATCAAGTGGATCAGTTATGTCTCGCTGCACAACCACATAGGTTTGTGCTTGGTACAGGACCTAAAAACCTCTGTCTCCCCCACAGACATCCTGAAGTAGGTCCAAAAAGGACCACGGTACAGTTTCAGACCCTGCACCAAGCAGTTGCCTTTTTCAATCACTATAGGATGCATTACTTGCATTTATCAGAACCAGCACCTGCAGGTCATCATCGCTTGATGTGGACTTCTGTAGCTCAAATGTTTAGAAATTCACACTCCATATTCATGCCACATTTGGTGTGAATATATATATGGCACGTTTAAATCTCATCTGGGGAGAGGGGAAAAAAGGCATTTTGTACCCTTTATTTGCGTTGTTCTGCATGTGACCTTTAGACTGAACAGTACCACTGACGTTGAAACTGAAGGCATTTCTAAGTTGCCCAACTTATAATGATAATATATAGCAAGTAAGACAAGTCATGATTCTGTTCACAACCTGTAAATTTAAAATGCCTGAGCCACATTATGATGCTCATTGATCTTGTGATGATAGTGTTCCAGTGCTTTGTTTTTACAGCAGAAATCATGGCCCAGGAGCTACAGTTCAGTGTGTACATTTCTGTGTGATCTCACACCCTTAATAACCTTCCTGAGGAAAACACTGGCAAACATTAAAAGACCCATTTAACATCTGGTACAGGTTACTGACCAGGGCACACAGGAGATCCACGGCCTCCAGCACCAGCTCCTGGTGTCCGACTCGTGAAACGCCCAGAGAAAGCAGCTCCTGGTGGGACATCCTGAGCAGTTTCTCCCCGTCCACATGCTGCTGCTGGAAAGATGGAATATACTGCTGCACGCCGTCTTCCAGACCTGAGGGACAGACACAGAGACAAGATGAAGACACTAAGCACAGGGTAAAGAGAAACATAAAACTCCATTTGAGCCAGAAATACAATAAAGCAAGTCGTGTTTGGCTTGATTTACAACATATTGCAATGACCTACTTTGACCTGCCCAGGGTGCAGCAGTGCACAGGGAGGCCTGATACCACAGAGGAAGAGAGAAAATGAGACCAAGATCATCTGTACAGCAGGTGAGTTTCAGTGAAACTCGGCTCTGTTATGATCCATTCAAGTTTGACAGCAAACACAGCTGTTGAGTCAACACCGACTTGTTGACTCTTCTTACTGATCCATCACTGTAACAGCCAACAGCTCACACCGTCCTGTATCCTCACCACACCTCAGCAGTAACACCATCACGTTGGCTTTACACAGACACACTGTGCATTCATCAACATCAGCTCTACTGTGACTCATTGCGGTTTACAGCAAAACCATAACTACCATTTTTACATGTGTGAATTTACAGGTTTTAACCAAGCAGCAACCTCAAAGGCTGAGAAATGAAACCAATGCTGCCAAGTGCCAAAACCTGCAGTTCTGCAAACGGCCACTTGAGGCTGGCTCCAAAAGGGAGTCAATCCCCACAGACTCCCATGTTAAAATGTCCAAATTGACAGCAGAAATAAACACGTTTACAGCCTGGTTCTGGTCTTTATAGCTAATTTCTCCTTCCACGTGAACTGTACAGGGGGTGAATTTTTACATAACGCACCTTTTAAAATTATACTGAGGCTAAAAGTTCCACATAATTAAGGGCGTGGCCACTTTGAGTGACAGACAGGAATGTCCTGCCATTGGTGGCTGGCTGCTACCTGTCTAAAGAGTTCCACTCACACGCCGTTTCTTTGCCCGTTTTTGGATTAGATGTAGCAGATGCTGTGACGCACTACCGATATGGCAACGGCCACACTTGAGCTTCACAACCGCTCTCCATAAAACCAGTGGGGTCACGGTGGGTTTGTCCAGCTTTACCAGCTAAAAGTGTCATAAAAATACATTAAGAACTTTGGAATCATGTACAAAAAAATGACAAAATGCACTGATATTGCTTTAAAAAGCAGAAATAAGTTGTAGTTAGGTCGTTTTTACACTTAATGGTTCAGATATTTTCAAATGAAAACTGACAACGGCCATTACTTATGCAAATCAACTTTGTAGAGCAAGACAGCAACACTTGGTGGTTTGGTGTTTGACTCCAGCTGTTAGTGCAAGAACACGTGTTCCACCAAATGGCTGATGTTGTGAAGAGCATGGCAACACGGCCAATCAGCACATGGCCAGCAATACGCCTGAGCTGGTGTGAACAGTGGAAAAGAAAACAACTGCCACCACTGTTGAAGTCATTAATGTGTTTGTCTTCAGACGGACACGGAGGGCGACAGATGGCTGGGGCGCTCTGACAGCAGGGAGGCACATTCCTCCTCAGACTGCTGATGTGACACCTCGACACTGGGAGACTAGAATAACAAAACAGTAGAAGGGTGACATGCTATGGGCCTTCATATGACAAAGAACAATTTTACCAGCTCAGTTCTGTCAATTAAGTTTTCATCCTAGTCTGAACACTGGCAACAAAGATGCATTTTCAATGACTTGGACTTCTTACATTTAAATCTCAAATTTTTTTGTCAGTTTTGACATATATCATGTGAGTGGCAAATTAAAGTTCTATCTGATTTACTTGTCAGCAGTCCTGAACCTCTAAAGACTCGCTGCTTTTGGTTTCTGCTGCAGCAAATATGTGGTACAAGTCAGGAAAACGTTCTACTCCTGTATGCTCCTGGAACGATGCCCAGTAATCAACCTCCATGATAATCATATACTCATACTCCCTGCCTAGAAGGCAACCATCCAAACTCAAAACGCATATGACAAAAAACTCCTTTCACTGTTGTCTGTCAGGGCCGGACGACGCTTGTCGAAGGTTTGTGGTCCACAGGAATGCGCTGGCAACAGCCTGGATCCCATTTCTCACAGCTGAGGAGTCACTTTCATCTCTCAGCTGTGCAATAGGGTGGGCTGCATATCACGCCGCAGACAGATCACCTGAAGTGCACGCTCACCTTAACATGCACATCTGAGCTCCTCTTCAGATTTTTCCTTCAGCACAAGCAGGTGGGATAAAGTTCATTGTTTTGGGTCTAGAGAAATTTTCTCGTTGTGAAAGTGCGCTCAGCACTGGAAGGTCCGTTTTCAGCGTAGTTAAAAAAATAAATAAATAAAAAGGAGGGGGAAAATAAGGTTTAGCACATATTTACAACACACAGTAAGCAAATTGACCCCAGCAGGATCAACCTGAGTCTGGCACAGCACCAAACATCCAGAGTTGGGCCCAAAGTTCTCATGAGAAAAAAAATTAAATGCCACAAATTTATGAGACAGTTGAGGCATTTTTCTCATTCCACATGTTGTCGGGTTTGGCACTTGGCCGGAACGTTTTGAACATGGCTTTAAACTGGCAATGAAATACTGCTGAGCGGTTTGTGTGTTTGGCTTCTCAGGCAGCACAATTAATGCAACACAGATAACTGGGGCAGGCTACACGAACACTGCCAAAACAATATGCAATGAATGTGGTATGAAGAGAAAAATATTTTACTTGTTTCTATTGGACAGTTTTCTGCTTATACGTTTACCTTCCAAATCATCTGCCAGTCATTTTAATATTTTCATCATGTTTCTGCAGCATTTTGACATTAGAAACGACACTGATGTGTATCTAAATGTCACCGTCCTTGTCATATCCAGTAACAGACTTTAATTTCCTTTAATCCTCCAGTAATGTGGGATCAGACTAATTTAGATATTTTTACCTGTTTGAAAATGTTTTTCATCCAAACAAACTGATCTTCACAGTGAATTATCACATCACCAGCAGATTTCCCCTTCTTTCTTTCCTTTTAGATTTTTCTAACAAGTACAGATTGTAATGGAAAGTTTTACAAAGTACACTGAGTCAGGTTCTACACCGAGTCAGTGACTACGATGATGAAATATTCACAGCCTTTTTCTTGTGTGCCAGGGGTTCCTTTCGAAACAGGTGAGATGCGATCCTGATGCTGGCATCAGATCAGCTGCTTCTTTAGAAACAGCTCTGAACCACAAACTACAGCACGCTCGGACACCAGCTGTCCACCAACTCTCAGGTGACAGCACAGCACAGCTCATCACCCTGAAAACACCCCGTTTGTTGACAGAATGCATTTCAATCAACATGTTGGAGGCTGACCAAAGTGCACAAATACCCCGACAACTTCGCACCAACTTCCTATACAAGTCATATCAATAATCTTGACAATACCCCAAGATGCAGTTCATCACAGCTTAGCAATGACTTACAAGAAATAAGTAAAAATGACCTATTCTCTTGGGAAACATGGCCATTTGTAAGAACAGGGTTTTAAATCAACCTGAAAGGGGGTAGATTTTTGCAGTGCATTTCCAGAGGCCCAGTCTCCACAGTTTACTTTAGTCACATGTAACAAAAGTTCATTTCTCTGTCTGGGGTTTCATGTTTGCAGGAGACTCCAGGCCTCTGGCCTCCTGTCAGTCAGCTCAGGGTGGGAAACTATGTGAACCGACAGGGTGGGAAAGTCTGACTTCTTACTGCCACAACAAAACCGTCAAGACACCGTCACTGCTTTAGCAGCGTAACTGTAGCTGCTAAAATGTTTGGTGATGGAAAAAACAATTTGGAAGAAGAAGCTTTATTTATTGTCATTGTAACATATATGACAAAATTATGTTTGGAGCCGAGGGCCCCAGGCCGCTGCGTGTATACGCGCCGCCATCACGGGCAACTAGGGGGGTTCAGTGTCTTGCCCAAGGACACTTCGACATGTGGACTGCAGGCACTGAGATTCGAACCTTCAACCTTCCAGTACTGTTGCCTCCCCGCAAACAAAGTCAAACCCTGTGGGCCCACAGACCTAATATGTGGCTCTCAAAGCCTGGCACAGCATGGTCTGTAGGTCCTTGTTGAAGACTAGCTCATCGGTCTGTGACAACAACTCCCACAGAGACCAGAGTGCAGCTCAGAGTTACACACTGATTGTTGTGGACAGTGTGCACACACCTACAGAGACGTGTGGGCTGCAGCAGGTACAGTAGCTGAGTGTTCCCTGCACAAGCATGACCATTTTTTTAACCTGATGTCCTGCAGCTGGTTGTGTCTTTAAGGCATTTTGTAATTTCACAGGATTGTACAACAGGCCTTGGACATGGTCTATGCTTTCTGTAGAAACACATGATTTCATTGTTGGTTGTACACGGACTCCAGATGAACTGAAACTACTTGATAAAGTTTTCCATTCCCAGTTGAACATCGCCTGATCATTTCAACAAATGGCATGCATTGCATTGTCAAAGCACAAAGGCAGAGTTCGGACCCCGGCACTCCCCAACTGGGGGCAACAAAAGGAATATTTAGCCCACCTCCACCAGGACAAGGGTGGAGAGCAGAGAGGAAAAGTGGCCAAAGAGCACTTCGACTATTCATAGATCCACTGGGCCTTTGTCAAAGCCTACAACATCTCTCTCTCTCTCTCTCTCTCTCTCTCCCACACACACACACACACACACACACACATTTCATCTCACTAG